GAGAGAGAGAGAGAGAAAATCAATTAAAGGCAAATTTTCATTAGCCGTGACAGCCTGGGAAAAGGCAAACAGGACAGGGTGGGTATCAAAAAAGAACAGTTATTACAGACATTACATAGAAGACAGCAGAAGCCATGGCAATTTAACAGCAAATAACCCTGTAAAACTCAAATTGTACAACCAGGAATAGAAGGAGCAAACAGCAGCAGGGCAAAAGCAGAGAGAGAAAAAAACAAACACTTTTGCACTGTGAATAAGGCAGGACACAGCTGGAGAGCACTGGGAATCAAAATCTATAACAGGCAGCCTCAACTCTGCTGCTAAACAGGAAATCATAAAGCAGCACAGAGGCAGAGATAACTGCAGGTCAGCTTCAAAGTTGCAGCTTCAAGAATATGAGAATTCCTCAGATAATGAAAGCAGAGATATCAGAGAAATCTGCCAATTTTAGGACATTGAACTCACTTCCAAAGTAAAGTGAATTGTAGTCCAGGGAAGCATACATAAAGTTGGATTGACAAGACAGCTTACTGGTTGCAAGGACATCAGTAGGGATGGCAGACTTCCTCCCATCCTGTTGGTTCTGAAGGACACCTGCTTTTAATGACTTTAAATATAAGAAGGGCCTTCTGGATGTTACCCAAACAAAAAAAGGATCCTCAACCGCGAGGCAGAAATTCTGGCAAGAAAGCTCTTTGTTTTAAGTAATTAACTATTTTAGCCTGCAGTCTTTTTCCAAATGAGTTTGAATAGTCTAGTGGGTGACAATAAACATTCATTGCTTTTAAAGGAGCACTTCATTGATTTTACATGCCAAAGTCAATTTACTAGTCATAGAGAGTATTACTCAGTCTGTGAAAATTGCCTGCCATATTTCAGCTTGGGCTTGGAAAATGCATACATTTTAACAGAAAGCCTGCTATTCTATACCAAGTAGCATAGTCGAATGAATGATCCTTTGCATCATCTGCAATGACTTTGGCCACTTGGGGGCAGTGGAAGCAAGCTGTGCACACAACACTGATATATTATCATCTTTTACTGTGAATGGTGAACTTCTTAGCACCAGCTGCTTATTAATATTTCTTATTAATATTCACTGTCTTTTAGCTCTGTTTTTGGTATCAACCAACCTCATAGGGGAATATCTGGCTCTTTAGCCACTAATTCCAGTATTTGGTGTTTTTTTTTTTAATAGTAATAGTGTACAGTGAGTTTTTTGACCTTTTTTTGCTGAAAACAGTCTGCTGCCAAAAACACTGCTGATTGCAGCGACTGATCACCAACCAAAGAACAAAGTTGCACACAGACCATAGAACCAAAACATTAGCTGAAGGATGCTAAAAAGCTCTGTAGAGCTGAGGAGAACTGCCTTGTTGGCTGATAATTCTGTTGCTTTAAACTACTTTTTACACATTCAGGTAGTCATGTGATCCATTGTAATAAATAATAAAAATATTGATTACAGCTGCTGTAAAGAGAATATACTTTGACCTTTACTGCATCAGCTTCTTGTTTTCGGTCTTTTATGAGTCCCTTACCTTTGTGAGTACAATAATGAAGTGTGAGTCAAATCAATTTTATTTGTATAGCCCTCTCCACATTATCAGGTATCTAGAGTGCAAACATATAAGAGGAATATAGAGAAAACATCGAACAACTTCCAGATACCACTGGCGATCACTGGAGTACTTGTTTTAAACTTCTGTTTACCATATTTACAGCTTCATATGGGGTAATGTAATAATTAGCCATCTGAATGAAAAATAATGATAATAAAATTATATGGGTGAATATATGGGTGAGGGAGTCTCAGCTGCACTTTTAAATCGATGGAAACAAACAGTTGGGAAAAGCATGGAAATTTGCTTGGCGACAGGCTGTGGCTCAGTGACCAGATTTAGTTCGGCAGAATCAATAGTTTCAGTGAAGAGAGAGAAATTACCAGCTTTACAGGATTTTATGAATCAGTAGCACTTCAGTCTCATTCCAAATGATGTCACTGATGAGATGTCTTCTCAATGTAACAGTCTCAATGCCTCTTTGGATCCATTTCATTCCTTCTGTGGGGTGAAGAGAAGTCATCACATCGACAGCTTTTCCTGTGCTGTGTCTGTGGAGAATAAGCAACCAGCTGGAAAACTCCAGCTCTGGCTCTGTTAGTCTTTCCTAATGCACTCAGTCAGAATTGAAATGCTGTGATCATTAGACTCCGACGCCTTTGGTGTTATGTGAGAACTGTGAGGTGCTGTGAAGTGCTGTGAAGTGCTCTCACTGCAAGAAGACTGACAATTGTTGGAGTGCTGGGAAAACAACAGCACCAGTCAGATCATTGGTCACATAGAAAATTACCTTTCTTGATAGATAGACAATGCTTTCACTAACAATATAGGCTGCACAGACTTAAACATTGTCCTTTTTTTGTGCAAATCTCAGTCTCGCTGCCAGCTCTGTGGTAAAAATAAATCTCTGGACTGTAAATATCATCAGTCACTCACTCATAAGCAGACTATAATTGTTTGGTTCAGAGGAGAGGGGACTGGAGCTGCCTGTTTGTGATGCATGCATCTCATTACACTAGTGGACTGTCACAGGAGGTGATGGATACCTATATAGTATGATGCTGGTCCAGGATGGCTGTCTGCAGGACTGACTCCATGTTCATTAATATCATAATTCACTTTTAAGTATTGAGTACAAAAGTACCTAAAATTAGTCTGAATAATTAGTAAAAGATCAGTTAGGTCTTGCACATCAGGGAGAGATATCACCATTAGCTTTTAAAACTGAGCTCCTGATGCTTTGTCTGCACAAACCTGTATGTGGTGGAGCTGATTAAAGATAAACTGATAGGCTGCCAGCAGCAGTGCAAACAGTGTGTTTTCCTGTGCGAACACCTTTTATGTGCAGTTATTTCAGGCCTTCAAGCTTCAATTATATCCAAACTCAGCATGAAAGCTCCTGTCACTTTTCTCACTTGTTTCACTTTCCAAATGAAATAATTTGGTGCCCATGTGACTGAGTGGGTGACGGAGAGAGAGACACGATGAATAAGCCTGCAAGCTTATTAAGAGAGCATTATGGACAGAGGCCTGGGCACATTGTGTGTGCACGTTTCAAAGCCCAAGAGGCTGTGCACATGTAGCTCCCGCTGAATGTTCCTCGCTGCCTTGACAAGCAGCCAGCCAGTGTCTTCAAGAAAACAAACAACCCGTAATTACCCCGTCTAACCACAGCATCACTTCCTGCAGGTCGGCGATCCAAAAGGCTCTGTCTCCGTGGCTACCCTGTTGCCGGGAGACAGTTCGGGTGGGCCGGGATGATGTCTTAGAAATGACAGAGACGGGCAGAGGCAATGAAGGGGGTTGCACTGGTAAAGGCCAGGGTCCCCAGTGCTCAAAAACAATATACGTGCAGGTTATCAACTCTCTCCTCTGTTAGTTTTCTCAACTGCAACCTTTAACACCATCTTTCACCTTGGGCATCCTGCTGTTGGAGAGATTCATTGGAAACGGTATTAAAGGTGCCATGTTGAGTGTTCTTGTAAATGAACTCAAATTATGTTTTAGCGTTAGCATTTAGTGTTTCTCACCAAAAGGCACTGTATGCATTCTTGAGTAATGCTTACATGCATATTTGCTAGCTAACAGTCATGTTCTTCCTTGCCTTTGCTGGCACATTGCTAAGCTTATTTACATGCTACATGCCACCCACGTCAATCAGTGGATTAGCCTGGCATCGAGTTGCCCATGTGCACAAGCAAAACGGGGACCAACTTAGAACGTAGAAACACTGCTCCATAACACTAGCAGTGGTGAAAAACCCCACAGGGTACCTTAAAGGGGAACCACTGATTTTACACATCAAAGTCTGTTTACAGGTTTTGAGGAGTTCTACTGCATGTGTAAAAGAAGTTGTATATGTGAAGCCTTTTGTGGCTCCAGGGAGCTGCGAGAAATCTGATAAATTGCCTAAAGTAAAGTCACTTGTGTCAGCTTTGGTTGAGGCTGAGGGCTACAAAATGAAAAAGAAAAAGCTGAGCAGAAACAGACCTCTGTAGCCTGCTCCTCATGCTTGAGGCTAACAACTCGAGGGTACATAGTTGGTAGCAACACACCTGAAACTGTCTGTGGTGACTTTGCATTGTGGGTAGTAACAAGGTAAGAAAATGCATGAAAAAAGACACATATAAAAAAGACAATATCTCTGGTTCTGCTGCATCTGTTTTGATAAAAAAAATGTTCTCTTCTGTCCACCATAAGTCTAACAACGTTATATGAGTGCAATGCTTAATCACTGGAGTCAAAAATACTGATAACAGAGGAGAAACTCTGTTGTCCATTGCAATAAAGCCTTGACAAACCTTATATGTATCTTTTAATAAGCTCATATGGTGACTTATGTTTTCCCTCGTAGTAACCTATGAACTTTTGCAGAAACGGCGTAAAAAAATGGTCAAACGTGAATACAAATCCAGTGTATGGAGTGTATTTGTGTAGCCAACAATTCCACAAAATGTCTCATAAAAAGGGACAGCTGTTAAATTGAAAAAAAAAAAAGAAAAGAAAAACATCTCTAGCTATTTTTGCAGACTCATATATTCACAAAATTAAAATCTCTTGGTAAAAAGGACCAAGTTGTTTCACTCGTGTCAAAACAGAAGGCCTATTTTTAGTCCAACACACATCTCTGACCCTATTCTGTCACCGCAGTTGTGACTTAGCAGAGAGCTGAGTGTCGTACTGCTCTTAAAGCATCACTGTCCAGGTCTCCTGAGTAGGTCATTCAACTCAATATGCATGTGAGGCTGCTTTGTATGGGATTCACTGTTACCCTTCTGCAAAGGAGAGGGGAGGTAATGTGAGCACGCTGTTACTGTGCTGCCACCTGCTGGCCGCTCTTTACCCAGAGCATCTCCGGAGAAGTGAGGAGGTTTTCTTGGAAAACACACCAGCCCTTTGCTCTATTTACTTCTCCCTCATATCTCTCACAGAGTGGGTGAGGGGTCAGAAAAAGAACATGCTGTGTACTTTGCCTAGACCTCCACCCAAAACCAGATATTCCCTGGAGAGATTACTTCTCTTTTCTGATAAGTTCTCTTTTTTGTTGCCCAAGGACAGAAAAAATATGTGAGTAAGTAAGTGAGCAACACAGACTGCATCTCACATTTATTTACAAAACATGAGTGTGGTGGCATCATCTGACCTTTGACACGAAGCCTGAGGAAATATAAGTAAAGCGTCCTCAGCCAGTGATGGGTCTCTCTTCAGAGTAAAGTGCGTTATAAAGACAGTAAAACTATTGTTGCTGTGTCGCAGGTTTGGGTTAGTTAACCCCTGTGCCCTCCTGTGTGCCATCTAACTGAGGGAGCTCTCGCTGCTTCATTCCCTCCTGACCTTCGCTTTTCTTCTCCGTGCTAGCGAGTATCTGAAGGACCGTCTGGTTAAAGTCATCAGGTTGGTCGGCGAAAACGTAGTGGCCAGCTCCTCTGATCACCTGACACACACAAACACACAGTCATACAGAAAGAGTCAGACGGTTAGAGCCAAAATGTATGTATGAATTTATCACATGAACATTTATGGCCTGTGAATAGAAATGTATATAAAATGAGTGTATTGAAACCTCCACATCCTTTAAGTTTAGGAACTACTCAAGCAAAGCAAATTGAGATAATATCTAGCCATGGATACGTCTTTAAAACCACACAGCGAAGAGATTTAACATTAAACCGAAGTTGCAAAAACGCTATTTAAAAGAACCTACCCTGATTTCCACATCTTGTCTGGTTTTCTTGAACGCATATCCAGAGTCACTGTCGATGCTGGAGCGTGATCCATAGATGAAAGAAATGGGAACGTCAGCTTGGACTTGGTCGATCCTCTCCAGCATGGGCCTCACAGCCCAGCCATAGGGGATGGTCATGTTCTTAAAGGCTGTTTCTCCACTGAAACAGAAATAAATAAGGTTGGACACTGTATGATGTGTTGTCAGAGAAATAAAGTAAATGTTGGTTTCTCACCTCGGAGTCTGGGCATTCAGATGGTAGATGTAGTCAGATACTGTGTTGTCGTCAAACACAGAGGAGTATTTCTGCTTGAAGTCGGACCTGATCGTTTGGACCAGCATTGGACCTGAGAGAAGAAAACAAGGACATTTACTTCAAGATATTAGTTTGATAACTGAAAACAAACCAGCCCATTGACAGGGACACTGGCAGCCTCTCCTGACCACTGCACTGCTTTTCATTTTGTGCCACGCAGATTTCACCAGAAATATTTAATAAAAAGGACACCGTTCTTACAAACAGAGAGTGAGCTGTCAGAAATTCTTTCAAAAGCGGATGATTGAAAGAGAGAATGTCTGATGGGGATGACATGTTCATCTTTTTCAGTGAAGTGAAAAGAATCAGAGCGATGACAACGCAGAGCCACAGGGACAAGTAGCAACACCCTTTCTGTGTTAAGAAGTAAAAGGCTTTACAGGGATGCATCTAACAGTACGACTGGCATGAACTGGTGTAGTTCTCACATTCATGCTCTCATTTCTAAAACATTTTTGCTTTTAATTATACAGTATTTTGATATTTAAAATGGATACAATATACTTTAGCAAGCCACACTTTTAAATGTTGCATACTGAATAAAACAGAAGTAAGAATATATGTGAATGTGCAAGTATGTATATGTGTGCGTGTGTGTGTGTGTGTGCTAACCTAGAGGCCCAGCCAGTCTGAGGCCAGCCAGAGGGTTGAAGGGGCTCATGAAAGCCCCCATGGCTCTGATCCACACTGGGATGGAGCTGTGGTTGGGGTTCTCTGGACGAGCTGGGAACCCCCACGGCTCCACCAGCAGCAGATGCTTCACCCTGCACACACGCACAGTTACCTGATAAACGTACACACTAAATTTTACATTTTAATTACAAAACCCCACATTTACTTGTTTATGAGGTTCCAGCTTATTTAGCAGATGCATAACAAGCTACGTAAAAAGACAATGAACACAACTATTTGACAGTTTTGAGCTCTTAAATAGAAGTTCATAATTGGCATGCATGTTAAACTAAAAACAAATATGTTCAAAACACTAATAATGACACAATGACACACACTATAAAGTAGCTGTGAAGATACTGTAGGGCTTTTCTTACTAAACCAAATGCACTAACAAACTACATCACCTTGAAAGATGTTGAAATAAAATGAAATGCAAACCTTTAGATGCTCTACATTTAAACTACACAATTAATTCATTAATTAAACTCCCTAAACTAGGGAGCATCTAAAATAGGGAGGATCAGCCATTGTTTCCTACTGCAGAAAGGTGGATTTATAATAGAAGAAAAGCTAGAACCAAGCCACCAAGCACGCACACCATCACACACACACACACACACACACCAAAGCACCTGTGTGGGTATTTGAGCGTGTAGGCAGCAGACAGGTATCCTCCGAGGTTGTGTCCCAGCAGCACCATTTCCTCCAGTCCCACCTTCTCCCTCCACTCCTCCAGGGCTGCCACAAACTGCTCCTCAGCCCCCTCCGGGTGGGCTGTGAACTGGGGGCGGCTGCTCCTGCCGAAGCCGAGCAGGTCTAGAGCGTAGACCGGTCCACTGCTGGAGAGAGCGTCCAGGTTTTGGGCCCAAAGGGCAAGCCCGCCTCCGAAGCCGTGCAGCAGAACCAGAGGGGGCCTGGGCTGGGTAGGGGTGTGGGGTGGAGAGTGTGGCTGCGGATGAGTGGAAAAAGCTAGGGTCCACAGATAGTTGTTGTTGGATAGCCGGACGTGCTGCCTGGAGAAAGGCTGCTTCACACCTGCAGCAGGGGTGTAGGGAAATGGGGCTCATCCTAACACTGATTCATCTTTGTTCAATAAGAACTTTTTGTAAGAATAAAATACTGAAGAACAACACAAAAACTCTCGACTAACACCCTCAACTTATTATAGTGCTTCAACAGCTCTTTACACTTACTCTTAAGCATTTTTTCTTCTGCATCTTTCAGCTGAGAGGGAGATGTGGGGCACCAAGAGGGAAGCCAACTTAATATCCAGGAGCTGTGATTTAGACAGCAAACATGCAGCCAAGCAGGCAGACAGAACACATAAAGAACATTCAAACAGGCAAAAACAAACTATACATTGAACTTTGACCACATGACCATATTGGCCTTTAGTGCTGCTCATATGCAATCTATACAGCACTTCCCTGAAACTCAGTTTGGGAACAACTTGACTGCGTAGTGAAGATTAGTTTGTACTGTGTATTTTGAGACCTTTGTGGTCAATATCAGAAATAGAAATATGGCAGTTTATTTGACATCAGTTTACAGAAATCCCTTGTAGCACTGCTCAATTCGGGAAACTAAAAAACAGTTAAACCAACGCAGATTTAATATTGTGAACAGAAATGCAGGCTGACTTGGGGAACACTTTGTGCCCGAATTAACCAGAAGCAGCTGGTAGGTCCTAACAGGTATCCAACAACATTTAGAGATTGGACAGTAACCGCGTATACATAAAAATAACACAATTTTAACTGAGGTTTGGATTGTGTTCAGGTATGTTAGTAACGAAAGCTGCTCCTGAGGGAGTCATTCCTAGTTACAAGAACACAATGTAGTTTTGGGTTGTCACAAAACGGAAGGCATTCACAGGGAAAACAACATGCAAACGCACACAAGCAACCACGGTATGAAGAACATAAAGTGTTTTTGAAGGAGTAAAGCTCACCTCTGCTCCTTGATAGGTTGCAGCTCCGCCATCCTTCGCATAGTGTACACTGACCGCCTCGCGACCATGTCAGAAAGAGGCACAATTTATCACGCTGCATTCACGTACATCCCGTAAAGAATAGAATTTAAAATTTCTTGTAAAGATTTCAACTAATGACGAAATAGCGTGTGATTAACCTATAATGTAATGTAGTGTGATTAACCTATAATGTAATGTAGTAATGATAACCTAACTACTGCTGAGAGTTTAGTACCCGGTGAATTATCTGGTAATTTGTGGAGTTCAGAGGTTCCAACTGCACCTGAAGGCAACGAATGAATTTTCTCTGCTAATCAAACTCCAAAACTTGCCTTTTCGTAAGAAATAGCTGATGAGCAAATGGCGAATGTATTTCTCGTGCAATTTTTATTAGTGTATAATTACAGGGTGATTGGTGCCAAATGCAAAAGATGAATTTGTTATGTTCCTCAGGACCAAATCGATACAACCAAATGTTTAATAATTGTCCTGTTGCTTAAATTAGGTGTCTTACTTGTGACACAAGATTTGCATTTATAGTTTTATTAGTTAAATGTTTTTATTCTGTCTTGACTCTTTATCTTGTTGTAGTTTGTTGGGAGACATTTCTCTCTCAGACTTACTTCAGGCAGCTGACTTCAGAAAGTTGTGCTTTACATGGATAGTGAAGGGTTAAGAGGCGTTTAGGTACTGCGCCAAACCATAATTAATGCTCCAAAGTTGCACAGCCGACCTCCAGTGACTTCATACAGAGGTAATATAACGTTATATGAAAACTTTGACCCGCTAAGACCCCAAACATGAAAAAATGAAGAATTAATCATTTTTGAAATTTACAGAATAAGTGTAAAATACAAGAACAAGTGGGGGTGTTGTTGGGCTAGCGCATTAGCATGTCAATTAACATAAGTTACCCTGTTCCAGTTAGCTAAGGTTTCAGTTGCCATGGCTACAACCTTACAGACTGAAGTTAACAGTAGTAATTAAGATGAACAGATTAAGTTACTTTTTCCAAACATGACTTTTTCATATATTTGACATTTTTTACTTACACATGAGCTAAACACAATTTATTTGCTAAACTGAAACATTTTGGCTAGTTTTGAAACATTATGTTTTGTTGTGGAATACTATATTTTTCCATTGTTAGTCTTCATTAAACAACTAGTGGAAGCTGCTGTAAAAATCAACAACACCAAACAAAAACATAACAATTTAAGGCTAAGTAGAATTAAATACACCAACACTGCCTGGAGGGGCTGCAGAATAAATCCAATTTTAATTTTTTAGAATAAATCCAATTGTTTCTTGTGGGTCTTAGTGCTCTAGCGCAATGACAAACCAACGGAGACGACTTTGGCTTTCCTCAAATTAAAGCTAGGCTAATAATAGACAGAAAAACACCATTTCTGGCATAGAGATTAAACCTTCCCTTATCTGCATGCATTCCTTATTATAAATTCAGATAAGGGCAGAGATTAAAGGAAAAGTTAATTTAACTCGTTATCCTCAAGGGTTTGAGTGTACAGTATGATCCTGCTGCTATACGAAGAGCACCTTTTTTTAACTTTCACTGTTACTGTGAATCTCATTAAATCCTAAAAGGAGGATTATCTTATAGATTTAAGGAGGTATTATCCCTTAAAAGGTAGGGACCATCAATCACAAAATGATTCTGTAGTCAGTGTTCGGTGAGTAACGTTTTAACAGTTATTTGTGTCTGTTGGAGACCTCAGGAACTGGCAGCCACCTAATGAACTCAGGTGGTCTAGCATTTAAATTAGTCTACAAACAACATACATTATATATATTATGTAAGAAAGAAACAAATCTACATTTGACGAGCTTTACTCATTAATATATGTTTCCAACATGGTGGCAAGTCCCTGTACATATATAGTTGTGAAACAGCCAGTCTTTCTCATAAATGATCTGTGATTTTCTCTCTCGCAGGTCAAGGACAATTTAAGGGGAGCCAAGCCTGTCCCGGTCCACAAGGTGGCGTACTTGTGTTCTCTTAGTTTACACACACACACACACAATCTCTCTAGCTGCTTTGTCCTTCATTCCTCAAACATAATTTTCCTCTCATTCCACCCACTTCCTGTGGCTCTCGGACTATGGGCTGACTGAGTGGTTCCTGAGTGGTTCATTTCCTTTGCTCTCATAGATGCACACACTCTCTGTGTGTTACTGTCCGTTCACTCTGCTGAGCACTCAAAATTTCATAAGCAAGTAGACAATAAGGCTGTAGTCAAGCCCATGGAGGAGCAGCGGTAGTATAAGACTGTAGCTGTCTGGAGACCAGTAACTGGGTGAAGCTTTTAGCGTGGAGCATAAAGCTGCAGAGTGGAGCCGGCCTGCTCAGTGAGTCTCACAACTAAATGCTAGTCATGCTAGCTAGAGGTTACACAGTGTACCCTCTTCCTCTTGGTTTATCACAGGCTCAGAATCAGTAACCCGTGGTCTCGCAGTAAATTGACTTAACAAAGAGTCTGTTCAGTTTCATCAGTCGTGGGGCAATCAGGAGGAAATTTGACAAAAGAGGCAAAGCCATTACAATTCTAAATTGTCTTATTGTGTATCCTGATTGTCTCTGGCAGTGTGTGTATAGCGCCAACTTAGGTAACATTTTACTGTGGCGGGGGCAGACTTCCTGTGGGGATCTTACATCCAAAAAGTCTGTAGAAATATGATATTCAGTGTCCTGCAGTGCAGAGTTAGACATTTATCCAGTGATAATACTAAAAAAAAGATACGTCATTACCTTTATCCTGCTGAGGTTTGTATAGACACCAAATACAGTCCCCAGGTTATTAAGACTAAAAAGGAAATTGCTCTTGGAAATGGTTTCTAGAATTTAAAAATAAACCTTTCTCACTTCCATACGACGGACTAATAGACTACTAGTTTTAAGCAGGTCTTGAGTGGAGTGTGTTCAGAAGAAAGGTGACAAAATTAAGTAAGGAAATGGAGGCAGTTGCGAAAATTGTAAATGAATTGTGTGTTGTATTGAGACAAAAAGGAAAAATGTAGCCAGAAAAAAAGGACTAAATCATTTTGATTTTCATTTTAGTTGACAGTAACATTCCAAACTTTGGTTGACATCTGTCTTTGTGAATATTGCATTATTTCCTTTTTCCCAGCAGACATTTTGACTGAAGAAAAGCATATATAACATGAATGAATGCTCCGTTATATTAGTGTACCAGTAAGCCGGGACAGTGAGCCAGTGTGCACAATACCAAAACCCTGAAGCTGAAGCAGCTAAATGGAATTCAGCCGTCATTTATTTTATTTTATTTTTTTTTTATTTAACACTTTGTTGCACTTGTTCATTTAAACCTTCATCATTCTTATTAGTACATGAAGTTGGGTGACCTTATGTAGTTTGCAGCGTGGCTACACTCAACCTTAGCCTGAACAGGAGGTGTCATTAGCCAGAGGGATTGGAAATACCTGTGAGGGTGTGCAGGGCTCTAATTAATGGAATAAAATAAAGTTAGTAATATCTGGTAGTGTCACAGTGCTGGAGCTTAACACCATCTTTTTTGAGTGTTGCTGAGGGGTCTTCAGTATGTCTGTTAGCTGTTCACAGTGCACTGTTCTAGGGTCAGCTGCCATTAGGTGTGATTAGCATAAGGTTAACACAAACCACAGTTCGCTGGAAGAACAAACCGCGCTCTGTTGAGAGTTTTTGGGGCATGGCCCAGTGCAGTATGGGTAAAAAGAGTGACCAAGCTGTTAACGGACGATAGAAAGGGGATGGAGGAGAGGCGGAGGGTCTGTCTGGTTGCTAGGATACGTGACCGGCGCCAACAGCGGATATGATTTATAATGGCCAGTCTCACTGTCTCGCTTTCTCCGCTAGTTTCCTCCTTCCTCTCCTCCCTCTCACTTTTCCACTGACTCTCTCCATCCTCTACCCTCATTTCTATCCTCAGCATCTCCACGGGTCTATTAACTGGCCCTGTCTGACTGATCTGAGTGCTCCCTGCTGGCATTAGTAAAGGCTATTATTTATATGGGTGTTCCTAATATTCCTTCCTGCGTCCATCATGAGCACACTGAGATAAATTCCAAGGAACTTCAGTTTATGTGGCAACGACGACAGAACTCATTTTGAGTCCTTCTCTTTCCGGTCTCATGGGTTGAACATACAGAGTGTCATTTTATAGGCGCAGCAGCTTGTGTATGTATGTATGTATGTGTGTGTGTGTGTGAGTGTTGCATTTTCATGTGAGCATGCATTAGCTGCACCCACATGAATGGATGATATTGATTTGCAGAGACTTGATCCACCTCGGGATGTGAAAATCCTCAGGGACAAGCACATACAATGTGAGGAGGGGGCACGAGGCCATGTGAGGGAAGCAGACCAAAGGGGAAATGGAGAGCCATATGTAAGATGAATAAGGATGTAGCGATGGACACTGTAGTGTTTGATAAACAGGCTCATACCAGATGAAAAGTGAGGAGTTCTCTGAGAATTTTTTATTGATGTTTGGGTGGAAATTTGTCTCGGAAGGAGTTCAGACTGAGATGCTGAAGCGTTCTTCTAAAGACTAATAAAATGACTTTTGGGTTAGTGACTCCCTTAAGCGTAGTGATACAGGTTGCACTGCAGATTTTACTGATGACATTGACTGACTGCTATCTGATTTCCATGCACATGGCTTTGCTTTGTCTGCTAAGGTTTCGAGATACCACTCCCTCAGATTTATTATAACATTTTTTTCAATTTCAAAAAAATTCAACCGCAACATGTTTTTCCAGAAACAATGTCCAGGTTACTCTGAATAATCTAATCTAATAATCTCCCTGTGACCATGTGTTATTTTAACAGAACTACTTTATTCTGAAGAAATAAATAGAAAAGTCTTTACAGTGAGGTCTATGGGTTATCCAGGGTTATCAGGAAAGACCACAACAAAATACCATTCACCTCCATTGTTTTGGGATGGTGGCAGAAATATAAAAAACAGCTATCCCAAACTCTGGGCAAAACTATTTGCCTAGCTAGATGTTGCTAGAGAAGAAAGAGGAATG